CAAACTTTGGATTTCAGCTCTCCGATCTCTCCGCGGTTTTTGGCAAATTCCTGTTGCCCCTGATCATCGCAAATATGTCGCCCATCATCACCAAGTTGGCAAATATCAGTTTCGCAATCTTCCATTCGGCAGATGTACCCGATGCTAGGTCTCAAGAATGGATTACTCTCTCTTTCGTGATATTACCAGTGTATTCCCATGTTCAGCAAGATAAAGATGCTTCCAAGAACAGTTCCTGTACGAGCTGGAAGTCAAATAGATCGGCCAGACAATGAAGCTTTGGAACAGAGTGGAAGACTTCTCTACATTTCATACAGGAGATCCAGAGGGGAAAGCTTATCCGAAGTATCATAGCCTGGATGGAATAAGTTGTAAAGACTAGAGATTTTAGGTGGGGTTCAATAAAGTGACGGCTTTGCTTTGTATACAAGATCACAAAAGAATCGTATTCTTACAGAGACTTCTGTTTATTGCTTCGAAAGTGCGTTGAGCCCCAAAAGCAATCAAACCAGATCATTCAGCTGGATTTCGTATGGCTGGACTTTCTGCTTCACATTCTGAGTGCAAACGGCCTCTGGATTCTTGATAACTCCGCGACAGAAGTACCTCAGATTGTACGTTGGGGAAGCAATCCAGGATGCTTGTTTGTCCAACGGGCGTTGCAAAAATCGACTATCTGGGAAAGTTTGCACTGCTTGTGACCATTGCGAGTCGTTGAAAGATCTTGCAGTCCATCCCCTCGGGGGAACATCTCCTGGAAATGTCGCACACTTCCAGTTTGCCGATGCGCTGGTGGGAACACCTCCAAAGGTTCCAATAAGGCCAGTCAGGCCACCAGGCCAATCTATAATCTTTGCTGCTACCACCATCTCTCTCTCACCATCGATGACATCGATGTTCACAGTGTAGTCATATACGAGGTATTGAGACTTCCAGGTATGGCAGAAGTTGCAGTTATCTTCATATCCCAAGTACACACCGTTGACGAACAATTCGAATGCATTGTCTGCCGTCATCGAAATGTTCACCGCGCAATGTGATATGTTCACGTACCCTACACATTCCGAAGGGCGAGGGATCACATGTACAAGCTTAAGATCTACGTTCTCCCCAAATGGGACCCATGATTGTGTCATCTCGTTGAACACCCAACAAAAGTAGGTGTCCACCGGGTGTAAGGCACATGGATGATTTTCCAGGCATACCCAGACTTCATAGACGCTCATCTCCATCAGTTGGCCAAGCCCACCCGTCTTGAATTGGGCCTGCTGCAAGATTTTGATACAACGAATCCCAACTTGAATACGGGTTCAAGCAATGTCGATATTGAACGGCAGTTCGAGATAGTATCTCAGTTATATTTGTAGATGCAGCAGGGCTGTATCCACCGAATGATAGTCCATAACAGCAGGAAATGATAAGCATGCGCAGCATTGCGACCATGGTTCTGTTATCGCTTGCGCTGCAGCTGGGAGGCCTAGCCCACCCGTTCATAGAGGTTGCCAGCTAGCAAGCATGATGGGTAGGGGTAGCCGTCGATTGTTTTGAAAGTTGCTTGTAGTAGTAATTTGAATACTCAGGCAAATATTCCAGAGAATGGCTACAAATTTTCCCTGTTGAAAACGGCGTCCCTGACAGTGTAAAAGAGTTTTATAGCCAGCGCTGAATGCAAAACCGGTACGAGGACAATCAGCTTGCCTAGTGTAGGAAGCCTACTTTTTCGCTGCCTCTCCTTGATAGGGAGTCTTTTCTCTGGGGCGGATTGGTCAGGTCTACCTATCGCCTGCAGAGCTGGCTGCTGTTGAGTAAACGTTGCCAATCAGAGTGCGCATGGAATGATGGATCTAGTAATGGGTCATCTTCCTTCACGCTCTCTTCGATGTCTTTGTTTGCAAGGCAGTTTCCTTTTGATCTTTCTTTACATGAGTTTCTTGCGCAACACTTCAAATGTTACAGCAAGATCACGTGTTTCGATCCAAACTCGATCAGATGATGGGAGGCAGAGACGATCGGATGATGGGAGGCAGAGTCGATCGGATGATGGGAGGCAGAGTCGATCGGATGATGGGAGGCAGAGTCGATCGGATGATGGGAGGCAGAGGCGATCGGATGATGGGAGGCAGGGTCGATCGGATGATGGGAGGCAGAGGCGATCGGATGATGGGAGGCAGAGGCGATCGGATGATGGGAGGCAGAGGCGATCGGATGATGGGAGGCAGAGGCGATCGGATGATGGGAGGCAGAGGCGATCGGATGATGGGAGGCAGAGGCGATCAGATGATGGGAGGCAGAGGCGATCGGATGATGGGAGGCAGAGTCGATCAGATGATGGGAGGCAGAGGCGATCGGATGATGGGAGGCAGATTCCATCACCTAGGAGCAGTACTGGTGCTCTGACAAAGAAAAATGTTTTGAAACGCATGGAGCATGTCGTCGTAAACCTCTCAGAAAATTTTAGAACTCTGTTCGAGCAGGGGTTTATGCGATCAATCACAGGAAGACAGGAATTTGTGGTGCACGTTTTTGAAATCGATCTGGCAAGGTTTAGAGAATTTGGATTCAGGACTGAGTCTTGGTATTTCTCTGTGACTCAAAAGATTCGCAATCTGGTTACGTTCATGACAGAAAATCCGACAATCGACTATTTGCTCTTGTGCGATGGTGACATCCAGTTTTTCAACACCAGTATCACTCTCGATTTCTTCGAATATGCAAGGATTGCTCACTTAGATTATTTTGGCATGGCGGAAAGGGGAGAAATGGATTACAACAGTGGCTTTTTTATCATAAGGAACAGCAAAGCCATGAGGAACATGATGGAACTCGTCGCTAACTGTACACTGCAGGAACGACCGGAGTTTGGAGATCAAACTCTTATCAACAAATACCTGAAGTCTGGTAGATTCACAAACTGCCACAGACCAATTCCGCGGGCCTGCACGCTGCAGGGAGATGCGGCGGTTGACTCTGTAAACATTGCAATACATCACGCGACAGATGTACCCGATGCTAGGTCTAAGTTAGTGCTCATCCTTGATTTCGGCACGTTTGATCAACACCTCAACACTCTTCGTCGCGTTCTTCTGCGCTGCCGCGAGAATCAAGTTTACCTCAAGAAATCAAAAGTCAAGCTCTTTCAAGATAGTGTCGAGTTCCTCGGTCATCAAATCTCTGCTGATGGCATATCGACTCAATCCAGTAAGACCAGCGCGATCCTTGACTGGCCACCACCCAGCAACGCAAAGGAGATCAAAATATTTCTTGGGCTCTCCGGATATTACCGTCGCTTTATTCGCAACTATGCCCACATTGCTGCTCCTCTTCATGCTCTTCTTCGTAAGAATGTTGTCTTTCAATGGACTCCCGAGTGCCAGCAAGCCTTCGATCTTCTCAAACACCGGTTAACCTCCTCCCCAATTCTCTCTCACTTTGATCCAGCGCTTAGAACAGAAGTTCACACCGATGCCTCAAACACAGCTCTCGGCGGTGTTCTTCTTCAGTACGACGCTGCCAACAAAGAGAAAGTCATTGGATTCTACAGTCGCCTATTTACTGATGCAGAAAGAAATTATCAAACCACTGAGCGCGAACTTTTGGCCATCAAAGACGTGCTTCTTCACTTCCAATTTTATCTGCTTGGCAAGCCCATCATCCTTCGTACTGATCACAAGGCTCTCACGTACTTTCAAACTCAAAAGGATCTCAAAGGTCGTCTTCGCCGCTGGTTAGAAACTCTCAGTGAATTCTCTATCGTCGAGATCGCGCACGTGAAAGGTACCGATAATGTCGTCCCTGACGCTCTCAGCCGCCAATATCCCGACGACGACGTCGCACCTCCACGCGCTGACGCAATCCTACATTCAGATGATCAAGATTTTCATCATCTCCTTGCTCTCGATGCTCCTGCTGATAATGCTTCTCTCGTTGAATCTCTTCACGACGCAATCGTACAAGCATATTCCTCGTGTTCATACTTTTCTACAATCTATCAAGCAGTTCAAAACAACCCATCGTACAAGCATTTTCACATTGAACATCATCTCCTGATTCTAACAGACAGTCTTCACCGACAACGCATTTGCATTCCTCAATCCGTTCGCAAAGAAGTTCTATACCGTGCCCATGACCTTCACAGTCACCGCGGCTTCTCTCGAACATACCTGGCTCTTGTTCCTGTTGTTTATTGGCCCTCTATGCGTCAACAAGTCGAACGTTATATCCTTTCCTGTCAATCTTGCATCCAATACAAATCTTATCGCAAGCCACAGATGGGACCGTCGCACAGTCAAGCAGCTCCGTCTGATCGTTTTGCTACAATCTCCATCGATGTTGTTTCCGGCTTCCCGCCTACTCGTTCTCATTACGACTCGATCTTCGTTTGTGTTGACAACTTTTCTGGCCGTGTCTTTCTGTCTCCATGCAAGAAGACTCTCACCTCTCAACAAGCTGCCGATCTTTTTGTTTCGAAAGTCTGCGCCAACCAAGGCCTTCCCAACGAAATCATTTCAGATAATGCAAAAATCTTCTCTTCTGCCTTTTGGACTAAACTTTTCGACATCTTGCAGGTCAAAATCAAGCATTCTTCGCCTTACTATCCTCAAGGCAATGCTCGACCTGAACGCCTCAACTCCGTCTTGATTGAAGCTCTTCGCATCTACTGTGCCAATCGCGTCAACCATGACTGGGACAGATTTCTTCCCCTCTTCGAGATGCATTACAATTCTTCCGTCAAACGTTCAACAGGCCTTGCGCCATTCGAGATTATTTATGGCCGCAACGTCAAAACTCACCTGGCTACAGGAGAGATTGGAAGACGAGCAGGAGCAAGGAGGACAAGGATCAACGAAGCTCATAGCCGCGACGGTCCTGCAACTACAAGACAGGTCAGCACAGGTAGACATCCTGACGTCCTCCCCTCCCCCACCTCCTGCTTCATGCCCCGTCTCTCCACTCCAGCCACCTCCTCCGCCACAAGCAATGCACACAGCGCCAATCTCGAAGAACGACAAGGAGACAAGGGGAGAGGAGGAGCTACCAGGCCCAACAAAGATGCAAGATGGGAACTCGTCTCACCTTCAATGGGCAACGGGGGCGGAGGAGCAAATCCTACCAGCAGGCAGCAAACCACCCACGACTACCACCGACAGGTCAGTGCAATCAGCATGGGTGGAAACGCACAGGAAGGACAACGCCCCTGGCAACATCATTTCTCACAATGTCAATGGATGCAGTCAATTTGTGCTGAAACACATCCTAGGATACCTGATTGAAACATATCAACCAACAGTCGTGCTACTTCAAGAAGTTTTGGTCGGGGGAAAACGAAAGGAGGCAGATCTCCGAATGATGATCAAGAAAGAATGGGGATGCTACCGAGTGTTCATGACGAAAGGTGCAGGGGAGGGGAGAAAGGGTAAGAGTGATCTTCGCCTTGTGACGCTAGTACATGCGGACCTTCTCCCTCGTCCCTCCCCCCTGCTCGGCCGCCGCGCTGACATGTTGGAAGAGCAGAATCTCCAAAAAAGAATACAACTTTTACAGATCGGAAAAAAAGAACCGATAGGGATCTGTAACACCCACTTAACGCTGAGCCAGATGCTCAAGACGGAGCCAAGTGTCAAGCTCACCATCATAGGAGGCGACTTCAATGCATCTCGACACCATCATAGGAGGCGACTTCAATGCATCTCGACAACATCCAGAGATCCCCATGAGAGTCGGATAATGGAACAAGGCTTAAACGAACTTGGACGATCCCAGATGGTCACTTGCGAGAAGATGAGCAGAAGCAGCACGCACTTCACCTTCTCCACATGGTACAAGCAGGGTCATCACCAAGCAAAACTGGATCATGTCTTTGCATTACACCATCCATCTTGCACAGTAAGCTTAATCTCGCAGACCGCAGAGGATTGCATCATAGGAGCCGCAGTCGACCATAGAGCACTTGTAGTGAATGTGAGCTCTCTCGATGCTGAGGGTAAGCAAGCCATCCCAAAGATTGAAATCCTCCCGCAAAGGAGGGATCGAGAAGCAACCCCTCGACGAAAGAAAAGGGTGGTCGAGATGGACAAGCTATCGGGAAGACTAGGCGTGGAATGGGCAATAGCACTTGATGAGAAGATAAAAGCGGCACAAGCTCTACATCAAGATTGCGACATTCTCGAATTGATAACAACAGCCCTCCCCATCAAGGAAATTCCGCTACGAGGCTCCAGCGGGAAAAGACATGCATCCAAAATTCAGATGGATCTGAAACGCAAAATCAAGCAACTTCACAAGGACTTAAGAAACGCTTCAGAAATTCCAGACTTTATTGATCGCGCACACAAGGAGTCGAGCTTACATGCAGAAATAAGAGAGAATATGACCAAATTCAAGGAGATCTGCGCAGCACAAGACCAAGAGATATTCCTGAAAACATGCGAAGAACGAAGAAGACGCTTGGGCACGATAGGGAGTAAAGAGTCTCAAAATGCAATGGGCAAGAAGTCAGACTTTAAGCCCAAAGCCCCAATGCTGAGTCAACTGCCAGAGAAGTGCCACCCAAACACAATCGAACTTACGTCATGGAGAGATCTCCAGCCAGCGCTGCAACAGCCGGAGACAGCATATCTTCAAGAACTGAACCCGTTAATCGAGACATTCCTCCAGAGCAACTCCAAAGAATCAAGCAAAACCTTTTGGAATGCAAGACATCAAACCATGCTGCACGTCGAGGTTCTCGGGGCGAGGAACCTGGCAACACTGACACAAAAGCTGTTCATAACGCTGGCGCCTGCACACGCAATCGTACCCATCATCCGAGGACTGATCACACAGCCAGGAGGGTGGCGCCTGGAAGGATACAAAAACATCGAGCAATTCCTCCCCATGAGATTGGCAAGAGATCTAGAAGATGAAACCCACACGGCAACCTTCTTTGCAGTCAACGGATGTACCATGAACGGAACCTGTGCAAGAGCTGAATGTCAAACAAAAGGACGACTGATTCCGTTATATGACAAAAGCCAGAAAAACGAAGAAGCATCAATCCTCTTCTTCTGCAAAAGCTGTCAATCACTGACTTCCGTCAAACCACCGGACTTCGAACCCCCAGAGCAAATCAATCAACACCCGACCAGGGATGTAGAGATAGCTTACCCGCTGGAGCCAGGCGAGATCCAAGTATGGATTCAAAAACTGGCCAACCGGAAAGCAGCAGGCATGGATTTGATTTCAAACGAGATTCTGAAAGCTCTGCCTGACAGTGCAAAGGAGGAAATAGGCAAGACAATCAACCGAGCCTTGATCGGAGACAAGCAAACACTAAAGATGCTCGCGAGAGTTAGGCTCCTCCCAAAAAATGAGATATGTCACGTCTTGGAGAATCAAAGACCTATATGCGTCCTCTCCTCGGTAACGCGGATCTTCCAGGCAGTCATAGCGCACAGACTGGCAAAAGCTGCTGAAAAACATAAGCTACTCACTAACAACCAGGAAGGTTTCAGACCAGAGGGGGGGACGATCAGGCAGGGTCATCGTCTACTCAACATCATCGAGGAGGCTCAGAGTAATCAACACGACCTCATCCTGCTGTACCTCGACTTTGCAAACTTCTTTAACAATGTGGCAGTCGAATCCATTGCAAAAATCATGGAAGTATATGGCTTTCACCAGTGTGATGTAGACGTCGCAATCAGTTGTAGCCAAGGGATAGCGCTGCAAATTCAGACAGAGAGGTTCGAAACAGCAGCCATCCCACTTCTCAGAGGATTACCCCAAGGCAGCCCCGCAAGTCCGCCAAAAACAAATCTTCTGCTTAGCATCTTGTCAAAACAACTCGATCAACAACAAGACGAGATTGCAACTCAACACCCTAATAATCTGTCATTTGCAGACGACCTTGTCCTGATAGCACATTCAGTGAGAGAGATGAAAACGCTTGTCCAAGTGGTAGAGCGATTCTGTCGATGGAGTGGATTAGAACTGAACACGAAGAAATCTGAAATCACCAGCTTTGATTATCGGCTAAGAAGGGAGATCCCAGGAACACAGACCATCAAGTTCTTCGACAAGGAGTTTGTGAACCTACCACCGACAAAATGGTTCAAATATCTAGGGATCCGGATCAGCTTGTGGAGACCAGGAGGAAGAGGCAACAAGGCGCACACCTGCCCCTTCACGTGGGGAGAGAAAGAACACATCTTGGAGAAGACAAAAGAACTGACAAAGCTGATTGAATCATCTGCTTACTCGGCAGCCCAAAAATATTACCTGGTGAAGGTAGGCATCGTCAATATATTTAGATACTCGGCGGTACTGGTGAGCTGGTCTTGGTCAGACTTACAAACCTTAGATACCCTCTGGACCAGAGCATTCAAAAGAGCTATGGGATTGAGCAAGAGTACAAGCAACGCTATCTTTCACCTACCTTGGGACAAAGGAGGCCTCCAACTCCCCCATCCAGCACCCATCTTGGGAAGGGCGGCGATTCGGTATCTAGAGAAAGAAACGAATAAGAAATGCAGGGTGGATGATGATATCAAAAGCAGTCTGATCCACAAACTAACATCATGGTGCAACCAATGGGGGTGTCAAACAATAAACCAGCTACAACGAGAAATCAGATCGGGCAGACTCAAAGAGAACGAAGCGATAAGAGGACCGGAGAGACTCGCAATCTGGATAGCGGAAAAAATGCAGACCACCATCAGTTGGGAAATGATTGAAAGCAAGATGAAACCGGGGACAATAGCCATCTTACATGACCTGGAGGACAAGATGATCTCAGAAGAAAACTCCCTGCTGTCCGGAGAAAACTCCCTACCTACATCTCCTGCTCGGCAAGGCTGGGAGAGTTTTGCAAAGGCATGGAGACTACTGCCCCAAGTAGGCTTCCACTCCATGACAAGTGTCTTACCCGTCCCAGATACCGAGGGCATCTCCCTGCACCTGCCCATCCGACTCTGGCCATTCCCAAAGCAAAGGGAACAAGCAGAAGAAATCCTTGCACAATATCTGCAAGCGAATGTCATCTGGGCAAAACTTGGACTTGAGCAGGCAGGAACAGGGAAGAGAAGAAGGCCAGCCAGGGAGGAGGGGAAGCCTCTAAACAAGAGAAGGAAAGGAAAAAGGGAGGCTAGCCCACATGAACTTCAGCCACACAAGAAACTAGCCAGACCGGACCAAGGGAGAGAGGAAACGAATACGAAGGCTTGTACCCGGGTAATTTTGAGGCGGTGGCTCCAACATGACCCCACCTGTTATGATGAAGGAGGGAATCAGCAAGAAAGATTCTGTTACACTACAAGCAATATACCTTTCAAAGTTCAAGGGAACATAGCCATCTTTGAGCGATCTCAAATTGAAGAAAGCAAGACCGTGGATCCACCAATAGAATGGTTGGAAGCGTCACTGGACTCGGCTCCCTTCACATCTGCAACAAGGGAAGAGGACGGTAATAACCGAAGAGACTGCAATCAAAGCATCCATCTGCTGCTGGAAATAGTTAATGCATTGGACGACGGCGAAACAGAAGCTACAGCATGGTGGCAACAACTCGAGGAGGTAGTATCAGAGGTTCGCCAAGAAACAACACAACCATTGGCATACGAGTTTTTACAACATCTAGCAGAGATTACAGCATGCGACATCAGTACATTTCGTAACTGGCCTACCCTACACACACATCCCCAGGCTCTGGACAAGAAGAGAGCAAGGGAACTGCACAGAGTGGTGGTTTGGATGGACAAACAAAAGAGATTTCGTGAACAAATCCTGGATACAATACATGTCATTCTGATAGGATGGAAGAATAACATTGATGAGATACCAGAAGGTTTTGAAATTATCAGCCGGGTCCCGAAAGGCGCTCAAATAGCTTATGCAGCAAACTTCTGGCAATCAGGGAATAGGTGTTTGATGAAGACTGCAGAGGAGTTATGGATACTAGTTAGGCACACACTCCCAACATACTTACGAGTCCAGCTTCAGGACAACATCCTCCCAACGTATGAGGAGCTGTGTAACAGACGAAGGGATCAGATCCAGCCGTGCAGCGATCATCAAGGCGGAAGGCATTTCACAGCAGCTATTGAAGGAGACATCATGCAGGGCAGAAAAAACAGATCCATGCGAGTAGGATATGTTCTCCAACAAAAAGAGATGACGTCAGGAGGAGGGATGAAAATCAATGGGAAGTGCAGCATCATCCGAGCGAACACAATCGCAATCGGTTTACTTCTGCAACATGTCCTTGAGGAAGGAATACAGATCAAAAGGGGAAATCAAGTCACAATAATGTACCAGTCCACACGTTTCCACCGCTTTATGACAAATACGTTGCGAATGGATACCATGCGATACGAAGACGAACTGCTGGAGGACTTACATGATCGGTTACTCACTTGCATGAAGAAACTCGAAGGGAGGGGAATCAGGATCCGACTCCAACTAGCAAAAGAATCTCATAGAAACATTCAAGAGGCAAAGGAAATGGCCAAGCAAGCAAAACAAACATTTGCCTCG